CTTTCTACTCCCGTAAAGATTTACACCCTCGGAAACCCTGTACAGGGTCGCTATGGGTCGGACCCGACTCGATGGCACTTAACAACAACAACAACACAGAGAGTGCTTACGACGTAAGTGAGCCGTTTGAGCAGTCTTCCCAGACCACACACTCCTTTGTGGTACTTTTGATCAGCAGAAAACTAACGTGAGATGAAGCTCATTTTTGACATGAAACAGGATGGTTGGTTTGGGAGCCCCAGAGAGGCAGTACCGTAGAATTTATGATTTCTTTGTGAGGCCCATCACAAATTCATCATATTCCTACCAGATGTTGTCTTGCCTTTGTTTCTAAGGTCTGCTGGGAAATGCTCATTTCCTCTACTGTTAATGAATTCACATATTTCCTGCCTGTAGGTCAGATTGAGCTGTACACTCACCTGCCTGTGATGAAACAGCTCATTCATCAGCTGGAACAATGGGAGTTCCGAGTCTGTGGGGTTTTTCTTGTGGATTCTCAGTTCATGGTTGAATCCTTCAAGGTAAGAGCATAAATCCATGGTATATTTATTAAGTCCAGGGCACAGGTATAATTAGTCATGATTATTCTGGACAGTCTAGGGTTATTTAATATCCCTCATTGATGGGAGTCCTTGGGTGGTATAAACAGTTAATACATTTCAGCTGCTAACCAGAAGGTTGGGAGTTTCAGTCCACCCAGACATACCTTGAAAGAAAAGCCTGGTGAGCTACTTCTCAAAAATCAGCCTTTGAGAGTCTTCTATAGCATGGGTCTACTCTCACAGAGACTCAGGGTAACTAATTGTATTGATTATTATGACAATGTATTTTATAACTTAATAAAAATATTATGATAAAGTCATCAGTTTTGAGGAAACTATGTATCAAGAATGAAGGCAGGTACATATTTATAAAATTCTGTGTTTTAGTTAGCTGTGAGCCTTATGCACAGCGCATGGATTATTTGAAGTGTGAATATTTATTTGCAATCTATAGATAAATTTTATTTCTTATAAATATCCATTGAGGAATATTCAGTGGGAGGTAGGCTGAAGATACTGTCTGAATTGAGACTTGTGATCACTGTAGATTAAATCTACTTCCTCCCTGCTGATCCTCTCTTAAAGTGAGCCAAGAGTCAACCATCTCACTAGAGCACACACTCTTTTTCTGTAACATTCACATTTCTTAGACTGGAGCCAGTTTTGTTTGAAATAGGAACAGTAACCTCTGATACCGAGACAGGAATTTGGTTGCCACAGCTCATGCCCTTCTTTCTGTTTCCTCCTTCAGTTCTTTTCTGGCATTATGGCAGCCCTGAGCGCTATGATCTCTCTAGAGATTCCACAGGTGAACATCATGACGAAAATGGATCTGCTGAGTAAGAAAGCTAAAAAGGAAATTGAAAAGTGAGTTCTTAACACCACCTGTCTCAGCTCTCTGGTGACCAGAAATGAGCTCGCTCACAGTGCAGAAGGCGAGAGAAGTCGGAATTTAGGGTGCTGGCTCTCAGGGAAGGTCCTTACTTTGTTGGCGCTGGAAGAAGAGCCTTGTCTGTTTTCAGCTTCTGTGTCTTGATTCTTTGGAGATCTTATGTGGCATAGCATCTCTCCCCACTGTCTGTGCTTGCTTAATCTGCTGTATCTCCAAGAAAATGTTCTAAGACACACCTTTCAGTAGTACTGCTTCATTACCAAAAAAGATTCCCATTTCCAAATTGGATTATAACTAGAGGAATAGGAGTTTCGGTTATCAACATGTGTTTCTGAGGTACACAGTTCCATCCGTAACACCGGTGGTTTGCCCGTTATCATCGGAGCACGGTTATAGAGGTGGACCTGTTTCATTTCAATTGTGAGCTGCTACTGTGAGTTGAATTTCTTGAGTTTTCCTTTATTATCATCATCCGTTTTCTCACTTTTGAAGGTTTCTAGATCCAGATGTGTATTCTTTGTTAGATGATTCTACAGGTGACTTAAGAAGCAAAAAATTCAAGAAACTGACTAAAGCTATATGTGGACTGGTAAGTTTATAGAGTATTTTAATGACCTGGGTTCTTTTTGAAAATTTTCTAGCTCACACTGTAAAGAGGACTGAGGCACGTAGTTTTTTCTAGTTTGAGAGGAGTAATGTTACTATCCCTTGGTGTTCTCTCTACCTAACAGAACAGCTCTTGGTGTGGAGGGTGGTTTGATAATAGTTGAAAAAACAAAGCACTGGGATTGTTAACTGTCCTCAAATGTTTAGGGAATGCCTGAATGGTACAAATGGTTAATGCTGTAGAGTGCTAACTAAAAGGTTGAATGTTGGAGTTCACTCAAAGGTGCCTTGGAAGAAAGGCCTGGCCGTCTCCTTATGAAAAATCACCCTTGAAAAGCCTGTGGAGTCCAAGTCTACTCTGATAAACAGGGACACCATGAGTCCGGAAGCAACTCAGTAGCAGCTGCTTTGGTTTTGGAAAATGGGTCACAGGGTCAGATCCTGCCTTCCCTTGTTGTTGTTGTTGTTGTTGTTAAGTGCCCCTAATACGGCTTTTATAAGTCTGGTGGGGAGTAGTAGTGAACACTGCTGCTTGTCAGCCCATACCTTCTGCTCCTCACACCACCACCCCCCAATTCTTGGTCCATGAGGTTTCAGTGGTGCTGATACTTCAGTTCCAGGGACAGGCATGGACCCAAGGCCAGCATGTCAGAGCATCAAATGCCACTGACCACACACGAGCTTGGGACAGGGCTTCTGACTGATACATAGCCTGGACTCTCAACCTTCATGAGACTGGTTGAAAGAAGAGCATGTTGACTAGAATTTCCATGACAACAGTAACTTGAGCTGCCAGGTCCCCTTCCTTGCCACGTGAGCTCTGTGGTCTTAAAACATTGGCATTTCCCTAAAGGAGTCCTCTAGGACGCCTTTAGCATATAGATTTTGTGTCTAGAAAACTGAATGTAGATGTTGTCCCAGTTTCTCAGTAGAGCAGGGGGTGAGGATGAAGCAGAGGATGGGACAATGTTATGACGGCTATTCACAGAAATGAGGGGCAGGGAGGAGACTTCAGCCTTCTGGGAAATCAAGGTGGACGCACCCCCTCAGAAACCAAGGCTGCCCTCGCCCTTTCTCAGCAGCCCCACCACACCCCACAAGTCCTGCTCAAGTGTCCGATATCAGAGCCATTGTGAAATGGTAGCGACAGCTCCAGTGACTTGACATCACTAGTGTCTAGTCCCAGCTGGCTGCTTTCTCTTTGTCTCTCAGGTCAAACTCCAGAGAGAAGATAGTTAGTAGACTCAAGCTAGCTTTCTGTGGTCAGAGCCCTAGGAGTCAGTTTTGCTGACAGTTCTCTGGATTGTAAACCCAGGTCAGGTGTTCACCCTCAGTCAGTGGCTGCTTCTACGGCTGCCTGCTGTCTGGGCAGCAGCTGAAGATAGAAGTGTGGTTACTGGCAATAGCCAATAAATTAACTGGCATGTCTAGTATACAGAACCTTTGGGGATTTTAGAATGGTCCGCGCACTTTTGAAATTTTCAGTGTTTGGCCAATTCAGATAAATACCCATGAAGTTATAAGTGTCCGGTTAAGTAATAAGTTAATGGTGTTCTGCTAGGTTAGAGGTCACAAAAATCAGTAATGACTTGCTGATGTTCTCTTGGTATCTGTCTCCCTTGCCTGCCCTCCTGCCACCCACCCACCCCCACATTTGTAATCAGAAGTACAAAGGTTATAAAATTTAACATAGGTTGAAAATTAATGTATTTTGCACAACCAAATTCAAAATCTTTCCGAAATCTCCAACTTGTAGATTGACGACTATAGCATGGTGCGGTTTTTACCTTATGATCAGTCGGATGAAGAAAGCATGAACATTGTATTACAGCACATTGATTTTGCCATTCAGTATGGAGAAGACTTGGAATTTAAGGAACCAAAGGTAATTTCCACATTTGGTGTATCTGGTGCTTTTTGGTGGAAATGGCTAAATGATACCAACCACCCTTCACACACGGCGCTCCCAGTTCGATGACCATGCAGAACTGAGACAATGCTCAGACGGTGGGGTTTATTAGAGAAGTGAGCAGGGACAAAAGTGCTCAGTCAGAACAGCTTCTCCTCAACCATGCCCGCAGGCAGGCCTCTCTCTGGCCCTCGGTCCCTTGACCTGGCCTCTGCCCTGCTTGGCAACATGACAGTACTCTCTAGGGCTGCTGACAAATGCCCAAAGGACACTGCACTCTGCTGTAAGCCACAGTCTGAAGGCACTCAGCTTTTCTAGCTTAATCAGCAAACGTAGCTTGCCAGTTAAGGACTGCAGGCACACACCCCCCCCTCTTCCACAAGTAAGTCTCCTATCAGAGGTACTCAGCTTTACTTGCCCAGTGAGCTTTCGCTCGGGTGCTCTAGCTCCTGAGTCTGCTGCTGCTACTCCTCTGGTTTCACAGCTTTCTGCCCCTGGGTCAGGGAGGATGAATGTGCAGGGATCTAAGGCCCCAAAGGATGCACTCCACTCTTGGCTCCTTTTCCTTGATGGTAGTGAGAGCCTCGTCCTGCTTCCAAGATGGCTTCTTTTGTACCCAGCGGGATCGCAACATTGACCAGTCACAAATAACCTTGTTAACTGAATCAGCATCTTCCCCCACCTTCCCTTACCCAGCCCCATCAGGAAAAGTTTGTTTGGGGGGAGTTTACAGACTATGGGTAGAAGAGACATTAAATAATTCATGGTACCACAATGGTGGTGGTGGTGGTTATGTGCTGTGGAATCGGTCCCTACTCAGCGACCCTGTATAGGGTTTCCAAGGCTGTAAATCTTTATGGGAATGGCCTTCTGCAAAACTCAAACTCATTTCTGTCTGAGTGGTGGCAGCACCTTGAGGTTTTTTGGGTTACCTCTGAAATTGACACATCAACATCTGTCAGTTTTACTCCACCTTTCATTGAGGCAAAAAAAGACTTCACTGAGTTAAATCTCTTTGTAACTGGGACTTGGGGACTTTTGCAAAGCTAAGGAGAAATCCAGTTTGGCATACTCTCATATGTCAGTGGACACACTGATAGTGGTCAGCTATATGACTACTGAGAACCTATGGGAGTGGTTATAAACTCAAGTGACACATGCACCCATGACATATGAAAAACCAAAACTCACTGCCACCGAGCTGATTGCAATTCATAGCAAGCCTATGTAGGGTTTTCCAGACTAAATGTTTACAGAAGCAGACAGTGAGTGGCAGGTTTTAACTGCCGAACTTGGTAGCTGCCCAGTGCCAAGCTCACATTGCCACAAGGGCTCCTTTCTATATAATAAGCATTTTCACATATACAGGGAAGGTCCTATCAGTCAGTCTTCTTTTTATTGACCATGGCCTACAAGGAACACCCAGAGTGGCTGTGGGGGGGTGTAAACTCCAGAGAACCTTACTGGGAAAATATGTTAACATTTGCTAGGTCAACCCAAGAGGAAATGAATGCATTTTCTATTTTGTTTCTCTTTGTGTCAGGAACATGAAGACGAGTCCTCATCTATGTTTGATGAATACTTTCAAGAACACCATAATGAATGATTTTACTAAAAAGTAACTGTATGTATGCGAAGACCTTGAAGCTGGACCCCCAGAATATCCTTGTTGAGGAATGCAGGAGTAGAAAACTACATATTTTCAGGGAAAGAAATACTTCTTGGTTCTTTTTACGGTAGATGTCTGAAATGTATTCTGAGTTATTCTGCTGCTGGCGTTATTGAAACCACATCAGTTTAGATTTTCAGAGTTGAATTAAATGATTGTACATAGATTTGTATATAACATAAATCAGCACCTGGTCTACAGTTAGACCAGTCTAGCATTATTTTTCTGTTAGGTTTTTTTTTTAGGACTTGTGGGGCAATGAGACTGACTGTAATAAAATAGACATATTATTTTGTTTCTGAGTGTTTTATGGTGCAGGAAGGATTACTGTAACAAAATATATGTTGCCAAAAGGAAAAAATCTGGAAGGGTATAGGTAAGACATTGCCCATCCGTACAGTTTTTCTATCTTAAGACTGTATTCATTGTATACAAGTGGTGGGTGGTAAGTGTTGTCCCGTTGCTTCTGACTCATTAGCAAGCCTGTATCAGGTTTCTGAGGCTATAAATCTTTACAGGAATAAAGAGTTTCATCTTGCTCTTGTGGAGCAGCTGGTGGGCTAGAACTGCTGATCTTGTGGTTCACAATCCAGTGCTTATCTTAGAGAGGTAGTCTGCTTGTATACAGGGAATCCCCAACTTCCAACATAAGGGTTTCTCCTGCTATCCGAAAGTAAAGCGTTCCTATGAAGACTTTTGTAAGCCGAAATGATATAAATTGAATTCGCTATTTGTGGCACTGTGGGTTAATATGCTGGACTGCAAAGTCGGTTTGAACCGCAGGTTGGTGGTTCAAGCTCATCAGCTACTCCTTGGAAACCCTATACAGGGTCACTATGGGTCAGAAACAACTCAACGGCACTTAGCAACAACAGCTTATATGGGGGAAAAATTTCTGGAAGTTTCCTGACCAGAAAAATAATCTACCAAACAGCACATAAAACCTTATGTTTTGTGTGCTATCACGTCAATACTGAGTCATAGCAACTCTCTGTAGGGTTTCCAGGAGTAGCTAGTTCCTTTGAAGCAGCACACCAGGTCTCACATAAATAGCACTAACATAGTGCTTACAACCATTCAGTGCTATGGCAGCTGGATGCTGAGAGGATGCCTTTCTCACTGCTCTGCTGCACTGCCTCTAACCTCTTGCTGCAGAACAGACACTGAGCGCTGTAGTTTTGCTTTTCACCTTTTTATGTAAAAGTGAAAATCCCCTCCTGATTCTTGTTAGCAAACAGAGATACTAAAAGCAAAGTGGTGTAAAGTGAGCTTTCAAGAATGGGAAGTAAGTGTATTCACATTATGATGAATTGCACTTGTACCTATAACGAGCTATTTTGTTTTTGTATATCTTATCCTTAGTAAGGGGTCCTGGTGTGGCACTGTGGATTAATGCGCCAGACTGCAAAGCCGTTTGAACTGCAAGGTGGGCAGTTCAAGCTCACCAGCCACTCCTTGGAAACCCTACACAGGGTTGCTGTGAGTCGGAAGCGACTCGACGGCACTTTACAACATCCTTAGTAAGGTCGGTTAGAACCACAAGGTCAGCAGTTCAAGCTTACCAGCTGCTCCTTGGAAAACCTAAATAGGGTTGCTATGGGTTAGAACCGACTCAATGGCACACAGCAACAATCCTTAGTAAAGAGTCCTGAATTTGTATGGTGCTGTAGGATAAGCACCCTACCACAGGTCAGAGGCAGCGGTTCTAACATTTCAGTTGCTCCTCAAAAACCCTATCCAGGGTCGCTATGGGTCAGAACCAACTCAAGGAGAACAATAATCCTTAGTAATAAGGAGCTCTATAATGTACTGAGTTACACATTAGTCTGCTAACTGCAAGGTCAGTAGTTTAAATCTACCAGCTGCTCTGAGAACATTGGGAGAACACTGAGGCTTTCTGCTCCTGTAAAGATTTATAGCCTCAATACAGGGAGGTTCTGTCTCCATGAGTCAACTGACTCAATGGTACATAGCGACATCCTTAGTAATTGCTACCCACAACACAGTGTTGCAGCGCAGAATTGGTAGCTATTATCTTCAGATTTTCACTCAGAGATGTTCAAAGATAAGATTTGTAAAGATATTTATAATAAAAGGCAGTAATAATGACAATTTATTAAAAAGGAGTTATGATGTGGAGCTGTGGGCTAATGCGCCAGACTGCAAAGCTGTTTGAACTACCAGGTCGGCGTTGGCGGTCTAAGCTCACCACTCGCTCCTAGGAAACCCTATATAGGGTTGCTATGGGTCGGAACCAACTCAACGGCACTTAACAACAACAACAACATTAAAAAGAAATATAACCCATGTCAAAACTGACTTCGGACAGAAATTTCAGAACCAGTTGTAAGTTGGGGACTGCTTGCAATTTAAATTTTTAAGTAAGATCTATGCACACGAACATACAAGAAAGAGAAGGTGGCCCTAACTTTCCTTATACTCTGCCTTTCAATCATAATTTGCATTGCTTAGCCAGGGCACTTTTTTTTTTTTTTAATGTTTTATTGTGAATTATGTGATAGTTTACATGGGAGAACATTAATTTTACATTCATTCTATCGTATATCGTCTCATTGCCATGGTTATAATCCCCTCCATGCATCATCAACCAACCAAAGGGTATACCCTACAAGCCTGCCCCCTCGCCCCGGGTCATCAGCACACAGCTCCTTTCCCTCTCTGGGTCTGAAGTCCCTGCCGCTCCATCTCTCCACGTCATTGTCTCTGACTGGTGTCACTACTTCTCTGGGTAGGGTCCCGCTCTCCACTCTTCTCCTTGATGGTCCCAGGGAACTCCACTCCTAGACTGCAAAGTTAATCACTCCCATCCTTGATAAAGAATGTCTACCCCTACATTTCCAACCTTCACAATCAGTCCTGATAACAATTATTCACTATTGTATCACAAGAGACCTATCCGCATCTCATTTCATCAGCCCTGCCTAGACAGATTGGATACTACTCAGTGGAGAGTGGAGAGTCTACCTTCCTCCACACCCTCTGGATCTAGGTTCTCTCTTGAAAGCTTGTAAGCCAGTCACTTCTTGCCTTTGTAGGGCCCCCCCCCCCCATTTTGGGTAGCCAATGTCCAAGTTGCCAGGGCACATTTTTGAATGAGTAAATTACCCCCAAGTTCAAAATACAGGCAGTGCTTTTTTAAAAAATGAGGTTTGTAGTCCCTGAGCAGGGAAAAGTTTTTATTTTCCTTGAATGTTGTTATGTGCTGTGCAGTTGGTCCCGACTCATAGTGACCCTGTACAGGGTTTCCGAGGCTGTAAATCATCATGGGAGCAGAAAGCATCTTTCTCCTATGGAATAGCTGGTAGTTTCAAACTGTTGACCTTGCAGTTGGCAGCCCAGTTCATAACCACTGTGCTACCAGAGTATAATAGATGGAAAAATTCAAACGACGGAACTCTTTAATTCTGGTTACACTGAATTGTTTATCTTTAGGCCCTGCCAAGAAGATGGTGTAATGGATTACATTGTGTCCCCCAAAAAGATAAAGTTCTAACCCCTGGTACTTTTGAAAAGGACTTTAGAAATAGGGTCTTTGAAAGTGTTATTAGTTATATCATGAGGTCATACTATAGTGTAGAGTTCTGATCTAATGATGCTGTTATCATAAAAAAGGAGACAAGCAGAGACAGGGAAGGATGAGTGCCATGTGATCGCAGACTCAAGAATTGGAGTTATGCAGCAGTTGCAAGCAGAGTAATGTGGACAACAGAAACCAGAAGATCCAAAGGACCTTTCCCTTTGGAGACAATATGATCCTGCTGACACTTGAATTCAAACTGCTATCCTGCAGAGCTGTCAAAGAATAAATTTCTATTCATTTTGAGCCATCAACCGTGATACTCTGGTATAGAAGCTCTAAGGATTTTATACAGGTACTTATTTGGCCAGAAACTTTAATGAGAAAATTGTGGGAACATGGCAAGCTAAGTCTTCAGGTTCAGAGGTTGCCAGAAGTAAAGCCTCCAAGGAGGTGCTTTTCTAATAAAGGACTCAAAATCACTGTGCTTTTAATACTGAATCCTGGTGTGGTGCTGTGGGCTAATGTGTCATTTGAACTGCAACGTGGGTGGTTCAAGCTCACCAGCTGCTTGGAAACCCTATACAGGGTCGCTGTGGGTCGGGGTCCGACTCCACGCCACTTAACAAGCATGTAAATTCTAAGCACTTTACATGTAGTTAATTTGTCACAAGACTATGAAGTGTAAGTAATGTTATTTCCATTTTCAGGAGTCCTGGTGTGGCACTGTGGGTTAATGCGCTAGACTGCAAGGTCGGCGGTTCAAGCTCACCAATCGCTCCTTGGAAACCCTTTACAGGGTCTCTATGAGTCGGAACCGACTAGATGGCACTTAACAAAGCGTTTCCACTTTCAAATTAGGAAATTGAGGCACTTGCTCAAAATTAGAAAGCAAATGATGAAGGGGGGGGGGGATTCAAACCCAAAGTGCACATTCTCAACCTTTACACAATTTGCAGCACAGCGTGATGCATAATTGCCTTCACCAGTCCTCCAGTTTTCCCAGTTTTAAACAAAATGAGTTGGGTGTTTTCACTCAAATATTTAATATAAACCATCACTGTTATAGACACGGTGAATAATTAGGCCTATGGAAAGAAGGGCAGATTTCTGTAAAGGTGATATTTGAGCAAACAAAAGCAGATGACTGATCACCGGGATCCTGCACCCCTGACTCACCACCGCTTTACTCCTGTGCGACACTAGTTCCTACCTATTGCTCGGGCGCCCCCTGGCGCCCCTTCGTCTCCTCGCACCACACTGGGCGCCGGAAGCGCCTCGCCCTCCCCTTCCGGCTCACTTCCGCCTACCCTGCCCAGGCTGTCAGACCGGAAGCGCTACGCTCAAGCAGATACTTCCCAGTCGAGTTCCAGCCCGGTCGCCGCCAAGATGCCGGTGA